TCAGTGCCGCTATCATCCTCAAAGATGGTCACCAAACTACGAATATCACCGCTTCGGTCTGAAGTACGAAAGCAATCATGAGGTCTCCTCGGCCAATACACAAAAAGCAACCGCCAACGACCACAAAGAAGAAACATCATCCTCATCGGCTATTCAATCAAGAACACATATCGGCCACTGAGCCAGGACACTCATCATCCTCAAACAAACAAACGTGCACCATCAGAGGAACATCAACCTTCTTCGTCCACAGTGAAGCGCATACTACGGCCAAACACGAAGAACCAAAACAGGAGACGGCCACCAAAGCGCATAAAGTGATTCATTTAATAAAGTGATATTAAAATATCAATGATTCATTTAATAAAGTGATTACCCGTGGTTACGCGCGGTTATACTCGTTACCCGTTGGGACGATTATGGTTTGGGTAAAAATGACCCGTTGGGTAATGGGGCGGTAATGGGGCGGGAAAATTCTTAACGGGGTGGGTTTGGTTAGAGGTAAAACCGTCCCCGATCCGCCCCGTTGCCATCCCTACTTAAAACTTTGACAAATTTCTGTTTTTGGTTGTCCCACTAACTTTTTCATTTTCCTTTTCAAGTAGAGAATTTGTTATTCCAATTAGCTTCTTTTAAATTAAATGTTCCAGATCATTTTCCCTTTCTCGTCTTCACAGACCTCAACCACAAATTTTATACTTTATTAATCTCTTACCGATCAAACTTGGCCAAGTTTAGAGTACATAAGGAGTATTAGTGTCGATCCTACCTAAACTCGGGCATGAGTCAAGTTTCATAAAAGGCCCCTATACAAATAGCTTCTTTAAAATTAAATGTTTAAAAATAAAAAAATGCAAAACTTAAAAAAATCCTATATTATGCTAAAAAAGATAAACGCATGATTTTGTGCAATCCTTAATATTATATATTAGTATTTTTCTCTACAAAATAGAAAACATATAATTTGATTCGTTTGAATTCCATTATTACAATATAATACTACATAACTCTAAATAAAAAACGAGCAAGGACCAACTTGCCTTAAATTTTAAATATCATTTGTTTAAGCAAATATATGTAATCAGTAATCCCCAATGGCCCAACTATTCCAATCAATAAGAGTATAAGACTATAATATAACAATAAGTTAATAATTATAGCATTTAGAATCTTACAAATTAGCACATTGCGCATTTACACATGAAAAATATCACATTAGCAAATCAATTTAAAGTTAGAAAATTTATGAAAATACAAAGAAATAATTAAAGAAGCAACTAAAAAAAATTAAAAAATAGAAGCTAGAAGTCTAGAACCTAGAAGGATAAAAAAAGTTACGTATGAAGCCAGAGAACTGAGAAGCAAAAACTTCCTCTTTCATTCAGTTCAATGGTGAGCGGAGGCTAGGCCAGAGAGCAGGACGCCAAACGGCCGGATGGGCAGATTGCCGAACAGGGACTCACACGGTCACGCCTCTACGGCCCTTCTGATGGCTTAGTCGTCCTCCACTCCTTCACTGACCGCATTACTCGAGTTCTTTCGTCAAATCGTCGCATGAGGTATATCGGGCTGCCGATGATTTATGCCAACAAATACTTCATTATTTTTTAGATACAACACTTCCATTCCCATGTTTGCAAAGACACGACTTTGACCATTAATAATTTAATGCCATAATTGCAAAAAATTTTAAAAATTATATTTTGAAACTATAAAATGAGAAGAAGTTAATTATATTTTTTTAAAAAATTAAATTTTCAATGCATTCATGAATAAAATGTTATCAAAGTAGAACTCGTGAATAATATACAATTTTTAATGTTGCAACTATTTAAGAATGAAGATAATACATATGTATAAGAAAAATGTATATATAATTTTGGCCCCCGACTATTTTCATGTTTTTAGGACCCTGAAGCCTGATAAAACTGATAGTGCTAAACGGGGAACACAAAATGATATACTGGGAAATAATGATGCTCATATATGAGCTACAAAGCAAATGGCATGTTTACATACGTAAAAAGGCTTGCTTCTTCTTTAGGAGAGAGGCCATATATATACATGTTCTTTATGCAAGTGGAATACAAGAAGTATGGGCTCATGGGTCCCACATTAATTATTTAGTGGTAAGAGGTAAGTCTTAATACTCCCCCTCAAGGTGGAGTGTGAAGATTATGAACACCCAACTTGCTCCGTATAAATTGGAATTGAGCAGTACCCAGTGCTTTGGTGAAAATGTCTGCAATTTGATTGGTTGTAGAAATGTAGCATGGCGTGATATCACCGCTGGCGATGCGTTCCCAGACGAAGTAACAATCTATTTCCACATGTTTAGTGCGTTCATGAAAAACTGGATTAAGGGCGATCTGTCGGGCGGCCTGATTATCACAGTAGAGTGGAGTGGGGTTGTGTTGCGGAAGCGTGAGGTCACTGAGAAGAAAGCGGAGCCATAGAATTTCGCTGGTGGTGACAGCCATAGCACGGTATTCAGCCTCAGCGGAGGATCGAGAAACGACAGATTGTTTCTTGGTTCGCCAAGAAATAGGAGATGTACCAAGAGTAATGATGTAGCCTGTGCTAGAGCGGCGAGTGAAAGAACAGCCAGCCCAATCAGCATCACAATAACCGGATAAGGAATAATTATCATCAGATGAGAGAAAAATGCCTTGTCCGGGTGTTTGTTTGAGGTACCTAAGAATACGGTGAGCAGCATCAAGGTGAGACTGGCGGGGTTTACTCAAAAATTGACTCAGTTGAGTAACCGAGAATACAATGTCCGGGCGAGTAACAGTTAGATATAACAGCCGACCGATCAAGCGTCGGTAAGAGGAGGCGTCAACAAGTGGGGTGCCATCATCGGGTTTTAGTTTTAGATTTTGCTCCATGGGGAAGAGACTTGGACGGCCTGCAAGAAGGCCGCTTTCTTCCAAGATGTCAAGTGTATACTTGCGTTGACTTAGGACGAAGCCGGAGGGAGAACGTGCAACCTCGATTCCAAGAAAGTATTTGAGTGGGCCCAAGTCTTTGATGCTAAAGGTAGTATCCAAATATTTCTTAAGCGAGGTGATGTGAGATGCATCATTTCCGGCTAAAATAACATCGTCCACGTAAATGAGAGCGAAAGTGTGAACATGGCCACTTTGAAAGATGAATAATGAGTGGTCCGCCTGAGATTGACGAAAATCAACCACAATGAGTGCATGGGTAAATTTCTGGTACCAATTACGGGATGCCTGTCGTAACCCATACAAAGATTTGTGTAATTTACAAACACGGGAGTCTCCATTTTTAGAGAAACCCTCAGGAATGCGCATGTAGACATCTTCAGATAAGTCACCGTGGAGAAATGCATTATTGACATCAAGCTGGTGGACAATCCAGTTACGTTTGATAGCAACCGCTAATAAACAACGGACAGTAACAAGCTTAGCAACCGGGGCAAAAGTCTCGTGAAAATCAATCCCCTCTACCTGCGTGAAACCTTTTGCAACCAATCGAGCCTTGTAACGTTCCACATCACCATTGGGTTGATATTTGATTTTATACACCCATTTGGAATCAACAACTTTTTTTTTTGGTGGGAGATCAACCAAGGTCCAGGTGCCATTATTTTCCAAAGCCGTTATTTCCTTTTGCATGGCTTCACGCCATAATGGATCTCGTACTGCCTGTGAAAAATTTTTGGGCTCATCACGTGAGGTGATGGCCGCCAAAAAAACCTTATGTGATGGTGAAAATTTTGAATAATCGAGATAATTGGAAATAGGAAATACCGTCGATTTGACTGAGTTGGTAGTGGGGTGTGACTGGTCGAAAGAGGGGGGCATGTCAGTTTCAAATAATTCAAGATGCTTTGGAGGATGCCGAACTCGTGTGCTGCGTCGTAGCTGGATCGATGGTGAGGAAATGGAATCGTGGGGCCCAACTGATTCGTATGATGGCATGTGATCTTGTTGTTTTCCGCCATCAATAGTTGGACTACGTGTATTGTTGGGAGTTTCCGTAGCCATGTCACGTGTTAACGGTGAAGGGGATGGATCCGGACATATGAGTGGTGTTGTATTTGGAAGCATTTCTGGCATACCATCATTAAGGCAGGTCGTCGGTGCATGCTGTAAGTTGGCAGTATGTGGGTCAAATAAAGGTGATTGAGAATGGCTAATTTCTGAGGTAGGTTCCAGGGAAATGAGGTTATTTTGGCATGATTTGTGTGTATGGGGCCTTGTGGACGTGTCTGGAGGTGGGAGAATGCATGGAGTTGTATGTTTGCATGTGACTTTGTTGGAGTCAATAATGTTGCGATAAACTCTAGCAACCATAGTAACAAAATCATCGTCGGCATGAATTACGTTTTTGAACGGAAAAACGTTCTCAAAAAATATGATATCCCGGCTGCTGTAAATATTAAGTTTTTGTATATCAAAAACTCGGTAAGCTTTTTGCCCGTTGGGATATCCAATAAAAATACATGGACTCCCCCTTTCGCTGAATTTATCCTTTCTTTTATTATCATGAGCATAGACCAAACACCCAAATACCCGTAAGTGAGCGTAGCTGGGGACCTTTCCAAATAATACCTCATAGGGACTTTTATTGTTAATGATGGGAGACGACAGTCTATTGATGAGGTAAACAGCAGTGAGGATGCACTCCCCCCAAAAATTAATGGGAAGACCAGACTGGAAGCGAAGAGCTCTGGCAACTTCTAAAATATGACGATGTTTGCGTTCCACTACTCCATTCTATTGTGGTGTGTTGGTACAAGAGGTTTCAACTATTATTCCATTTTGTTTATAGAATTCTAGTAAAACCTCAGTCTGAAATTCCATGCCATTATCGGAACGCACACGTCTGACCTTTTGCTCAAACTGGGTTGTTACCATATTGTAAAATTGTATTAAAAGTTGGGGGACCTCAGATTTATTTTTCATAAGATAAACCCAAACGCCGCGAGAAAAGTCATCGACGATGGTGAGGAAATAACGAGCACCGATTATAGAATCACATTTGTAACCTCCCCAAATGTCACAATGTATTAATTCAAAACAGTGTGAACTTTTATTCATACTAACGGGAAAAGGCAAACGAGTCTGCTTGGCTCGTAAGCAAGGATCACAGAAATCATAATTTTTCTTAAGCCCCTGAAGAGATGAGATGTAGTGCAATTTTCCATCTGACGCATGTCCCAGACGCTGATGCCATAATTCAAAGTCTTGAGTAACTGACATTGCCACCCCTGCTCTCCTAGGAGTGTTGAGATAATATAGACCGTCACGAAATTTACCCACTCCAATCAGCTTCATCGAGGGTAAGTCCTGTAAAATACAAAAATCCCGAAAAAATGTGAGTGTACAGTTGAAGTCACTAGTAAGGCGACGAGCTGAAAGTAAGTTGCATTTAAATTGTGGAATATATAAAACGCGTCGAAGGTATAGTCCATTGGGTAAATATAGACTTCCAACTGCATGGACTGGCACTGATTCTCCATTTGGAATTTTGACGGATGGCTCAGTTGGTGTAGTAAAAATATTTACTAGACCATCACCTTCACACGTTATATGTTCGGTTGCTCCAGAGTCAATAATCCAAGGATAAACATGTGACGGTGTGGCTGCCATGTTTGCCCGAGTAGTAGATGAGGAAGATTGATCAACCGATTGGTCAACAAATTTTTGTTTCATGTACTGCGCAAGCTCCTCCAATTGGTTGGCAGAAAGTCCATAATTAGAAGTGAGACTTCCTTCTACGTGGGCAGCTTTTGGGTGTCCTGGGTGTTGAGTGATCCTTCGAGTAGCACTAGGAGCTTGTTGAGCATGCATGTGAAAACTACCACGTGGCTGAGCAGTAATTTGTAATTCTTTAACTCCTTTTCCTTTTGTATTCCAACTTGGTGGGTAACCATGCAATTCAAAGCAATTTTCATGAGTGTGGTTGGTCCTCCCACAATGAGAGCAGTGACGGCCAACTTTGGAGGTGTGGCGGCGACTCAAATTAATGTCCTTCCCGGTATGAACTTGGAAGACTGAACCATCAACAGTTGGTTTGCGGGCCGATGCGATGGATCGGTGTTGCTCGCTCTCCGAAATGAGGTGATAGGCAGCGGTAAGTGAGGGGACCGGTCTTGTGGCAAGTATTTGAGTTTTTAGTTGGGCGTAGACATCATCCAATCCCATTAAAAAATCATAGAGGCGATCTCTATCTCTAGATTCATTGATTTGTTTAGATAGATTGCATGAGCATCCTTTGCAAGTACAACTTGGACCAGTGTTGATAGAGGCAATCTCGTCCCAAATGCGACGCAACCGGCTAAAATATGCCAGGATGGACTGATTGTCTTGTCTAACGGCACTAAGTGAGCAACGGAGTTCATACGCACGTGGAGCGCTCTCCTTTCCAAATCGTTCTTCCAAATCAATCCAAATCTCGCGTGCCGTTTTAAATTTAACACTTTGTCGAAGCTCGATTTCCATGCTTCCGTTCAACCAAGCTTTAACCATGGCATTTGCACGTTGCCAATATGGAAGGTATGGTGACTCCGGTTTGGGCATCGGAAGATCCCCATTGACAAAACCAAACTTATTTTTCGCATAGAGGGCATTTCTCATTTCATCGAGCCAATCGCCATAGTTTCCATCACGAAGAGGTGTAGTAACATAGATATCTTCGGGCTTATCTCCGGATTGAATAAAATATGGTGACATTGAATCTATTACGATGCCGGTGGTTTCAAGGCCGACATCACTAATTTTATCGCCGTCAACCATGGGTAGGGATGATATGTGTATGTTTCAAAGGGATAGATTAAGATGTATTTTTCCTGAATTTCGGCTCTGATACCATGATAAAACTGATAGTGCTAAACGGGGAACACAAAATGATATACTGGGAAATAATGATGCTCATATATGAGCTACAAAGCAAATGGCATGTTTACATACGTAAAAAGGCTTGCTTCTTCTTTAGGAGAGAGGTCATATATATACATGTTCTTTATGCAAGTGGAATACAAGAAGTATGGGCTTATGGGTCCCACATTAATTATTTAGTGGTAAGAGGTAAGTCTTAATAAAGCCCAAGCCTCTTTGGCCTTGAAGAAGGACCAATCCAGAGTATTATCGATGAGCATACACATGATATTAATACGGGGAGTATTAATCCAATACTCCCCGTATTAATATGAGGAGTATTAAACTAAAAAAGGTACAGCTGCATCAAAAATTTGACGCAAATTGAAGGCTTTCAAGTTGCGCTCTAAAAGTGTATAACCAAACCGTCTCCAAAAGTTCCGGATTTTGTTAGTCATCAGACCAATATCTACGGAGAATATGCTTTCCTCTCGGATTCCAATGATGATAAAACATGTCTAAATTTGATTTGAGTTTGATTGATATATTTACATTATTACTCCAAATTATATTTCAATTTATATTATTTTTGAACTCAAACTATACAATGTCTTTGAAAAGTCTTTGACCGAAGAAAAATAGGAGTTGGGTCGGACTTGTTATTGGAGAAGACTTGTTATTGTTGGGAGCGGGGGACCTAGAACTTTTACAAACGGGGTCAGAGGCTAATAAGGGTTGGGTGACTTGAGTCAGACTAGAGGTGATTCGGTACGGTATACTGTTTATCCAAGAATAAATTAATCTAAAATTATAACGGGAATCGAACAAATATGGATCAACAATGGGGTAAATTGAGAAGTAAAAATGCGAAAGAAATTTAATAATAGTTCGAAGATGATAATCTGATTACAAGAGTGTAGTTGAATTGCTTAATGGAATTGATCAAGTGATCGTGTGCTACATGTTCAACGGTATCCCCTTTTTAAAATAAAATGCTACTCCTTCATCAAGTATCACACCTGTTCCCCCTTTTTCCTCCACGTGCGGCTGGCCCTTCTTATCTTATGCTTGACCTGACTAAATAACCGTTCTAGGCATCTTTATCCCATTTGAACTTAGGTGGCCTTCTTCATGCGCATTATAAACCAGCCCAAGCGTAAGAAATGTATCCGGCCCAACATCAAATTACACGGAAAAGCACCGGCCCAACAATTGCCCCCATTCGTATTGGTGATAGTTGAATCGGGTGGGGAGACTGTCATCATTACGAATTTTAGGTTTCCTAGACTCCTACAACTTTCCCTCTTCCCAACAACTGACAAACTCTCCCCAGCCGCAGAAGAGCTTTATTGATCGGTCATTCGTATTTCCTCCTTCTTTACCTTTTCACTCTGTGCCGGGCGAACTCTTTACTTCCAATTGCATTACTCCTTTCTGCTATGGCGAAAACAGTGTTTTCGAGCCAGGGCGTTTTTGAGACCAGGAACCTCAAGGCTGCCGACTTACGTGTCAAGGACAAGGAGGAGATCGAATTGTCGTATGGCTTTCCGGCAAATGCGAGAGTCCGGTACCCACAACGTGGCGAACGGGTAGATTGGACTTGCCCTGGTTGGATCAATTTCTACCAATATCCGTTTGAGAAACTAGGTGTTCGTTTCCCTTTCTCTGCCCTGGTAACTGGTTTTATCTCCCTTGCAAAATTGTCGCCCTGTCAAATTATGCCTCAAACCTGGAGGCTCCTCTGCTCTTTGGAGTTTCTGATTGAGAAAACGGTTTGAGCTTCACCTCTGAGGATCTGGGCATCTCCTATGACCTTCGTACCTCTGGGAAGGGGAGGTTTATTTTGACGCTTAAACCTGGCGCGGAACCTTTGGTCTTGGGGATTAGCAATGCCAATGACAGAGGTTGGTTGGCCAAATTCTTCTTTGTTGAAAGGTCTTCACTGAGTGGCTCCGGGGACTACCTCCCTGATCGTTTGAGAGTTGCTGGTAAACCCCTTTCCTTTCGCTCTATTAAATCCGAGATTGTGCCTTTGTCACTTGCCTTTAGTAATCTTCCTCGTTCTTTAGGTGAAATAAAAACATTTTCCTTGGAATATGGCCCTCAAGCTGAAGAGAGGACCAATGCCTTCTTGGCATTGGACCTCGAGATTCGCCTGTACTCCAACCTCAAGCACGAGTTCCGAGGTATGGCCGTTCACTCTCCCTCTGTCAGTCCTGTTCATGTTGGCTCGCGGCGTTCCTCCCGAAATGCGTCTAAATCTCTTGGTTCATGCCAAGATGCGTCGGTTGTTTCTGTGGAGAGCTCTGTAGAATCATGATGTATGTCATCTGATCATCCGACAGCTGCTTCATCCTCCTCAGGGTCTCGCCGAACTCTGAACCCTCTTGAACTGCTCAATCTTAATTCCAAGAAAAGAAAGGTCAAACCCTCGTTGCCTCCGGTCGCAAGTGCTTCTGCAACGACGACTTGCTCCTTGCCACCTCGTAGCTCTATTGCGCGGACAGAGGCTGCCCCAAACGATGTGGTTCCTATGAAGCTCGAGTTTACTTCAGGTTTTTGTCGTCTCGATAATGCCCTGAAAATGAAAAACGAAATTGCCCAGATGCTTCTTCCCCCTGCTGTGGAGGTTTTTTCCGGTCTGACCAATGTAGATGTACTAACTACTTCTTCCGCTTTGGCCTTCCAGGTATAACAGCATTATCGTGGATGTTCCATATAATCTTTTATACTTACACGTCACCTGATGCTGTCATATCATGTATTATCAAATGTCAGGTGCTACAAGCCAATTTGGTAGCTGCCAAGCGCATGCAGGTTTTAGAAAGGGATTTGTTATCCGCCCAGCATGCTGAGGAGGAAGCGAAGGCGAAACTTGTTGATCTTGCTCAAGAGAAGTTTAGCTTGGAAGAGAGAGAGGCTTCGCTGACTTCTATGATAAGCAAATTAATGGGTGAAATACAGGAGAAATCAACCTGGATTAAGTCCTTAGAGGAGTACAGTAGAAAGAAAAAACAAGAGGTGATTGACGCAATTGGATTTTATACGTGACAGACCAAGAAGGATATAATGGCATCCTTTCTGGCAGGAGAGGCGGATCAGTGGACTCCGAATGAAGATATTGCCATATGGGATAAGCATTTTGAAGGGGTGGAGCCACCAACTGGTGAGGATGGCTTTGACCTTGGAATCTGCGATACTGAGGTCGACTCTAGCCCAACTGCTAATCCTTGACTTGTGAGTTCATTCTGATTTAAATACTTTATGATGGATTCTGTATTGTGTTTTGTGAAGTTGTGTGCCTGCGTTCTATTTTTGGACAAATCCTGACCATGCCGGCTGGTGGTTTATCCAGTGTCCGGTGGTCAGCTTTTGACACTTTGGTCAGTTCTCGTATTGAAATTTGACCTTTATGCGCAACTGTCACGGATGATGTTACCCGTGTACGCATGTTCGCCGTTTTGTATGTCGATTGTTGTTTGTTTTGGATGACATTTCCTTGCGTGTGTAGGTCTGTCGTTTTGGCCAAAACGTGTAAGGCGCGTGAGCTCGTCTTTCATATTTTCTATATGAATGGCCCATACTAACCTTACTACTCCTTTTTATGTTGTCGGGAGTTATGTGTGAGTGCCTTCTGTTGGCACGTTTAGCGTTCATAGCAACATTCGTCATTGTGTTTATTGCGCTGACATCCTGCATGACATCATGTTGCCGGAATCCGGCCGTTGGCTTTTGGCCAACGGCCCTCCGATGCCTAAGTTAGTAAACTGGGAATTCAAGCAGATATGTTGTCACGCCCCAGACCGCATCCGGGCCACGTAGACACCCGCCGTACAACCCGATAAGAATAACAACAGTTCATGCCTATTGAATTGTACAAGGCGTTCGATTGATTCTATTGCCAAACCGATTAATAAACACATACAATCAACATCGATATCATAATCAAACAAATGCGGAAAGAATAATATGTTTGATGCTTAGCCACATGTGGCAAACACGGGCACGCAGGCCCCCATCTGTTTTAAAGAAAACAATGTTCAAAAATCCATGAGCAGTTTATAAATTTGAAATAAGAATGGAAGCACGAACCACGT